TTTTGAGTTTTCTTAAGCTGTATGCAATAATCAGCAATATTAAAATAATAAAAGGCTTGCAATATTTCAGTTGATTTGTAATGAATCCAGAATGTATGACATTTTTGTTTTTTTAATTGCATTACAGAAAATAAAGAACTTTATCACAATATTCTAATTTTCTGAGACAGTCCTGTATATAAAACATGTCTGTGAAGTTTTTTTCAAAATACCAAACAGATCACCCATTGTAGCCATGCCTCATATTGCTCAAACCCCTCTTTGCAGCCCTGTTAGAGAAACGCAGATTTTGGGTCCTTAGCTTAGAAAAAAATAAAATAAGAGGTGGCGGAGCTAATGCCTGATCAGAATTCTACCGTAGATAAAGTTAAATTCGGTTGTGATAAAACGCCATCCTGTTTAAAACACTTCAAGGATTATTTCTGAAATAGTATGGAGCTCAAATGCTTTTTCTCTTGCAGGTTTATCACAAGGTGAGTTATTTTTTTATGTCCTGCTTTTTTTTACATGTGCTCTACACAGTAAAGGTTAGCCAGGGTTGCCAACTTTGGGTACCTGGCTGGAGTGAGATTTTGATATCATGGGTTTAATTACACATATGCGCACGAAATGACTGCCATCGTGTCAGCAGCGGGACCTTAGCATATACAGTACTGTATATAGGATATATAATACAATATACAAATACACAATATTGGGCACAGATTATACAGTAAAGGGCACAACGAAATTCACAATTCACTAATGAAAGTCAAACACATGTTTGTTTCCACTGTTTTATTGTGTGCCTGTCGCGATAAGCAATTAATTGACTTTATCGTACGATAAATAAAAATGAACTCGATAAATTGCTATTTACATGAAGATGTGACGAGCAGTTTGAAAGGATGTACTTGAATTATTATTATATATTATCATTTTGTCAGTGGTCTAAAATGGTCATACAATGGTGCCGACAATATTATCGTTTATCGCAATAATTTCCGGGAAAATGTATCCAACTAAATTAATTATCGTGAGAGGCCTATACATGAAACACACACACACACACACAAATCTACAGACTTACTCCAAACTGCCAAATATATTAATTAACACACTCTCACTCTCATATACATAGGGATAGTGGTGGTCTAATGCAGGGGTTCTACTGTCTAATTCTACTGGATTTCTACTGGATCTTAGATCTGCGCATGCGCAATACGGGTCGGCGATTGACCAACCGGCTCCCACTGCTCTGCTGTCTGTTATAGGGGTGGGCGATACCACAACATCTGGATTCGATCCAATACCAAGTATTTCAGGGCCAGTATCGCCGATACCGATACTTTTTAAAATGAAAAGTGTCTTATACTTTCGTATAGGGGAGAGCTGCATGACATGATTTTTGAGCTGAAAGCATCATAACTAGACTAAATCTGAATTCATTTTCATGATTAAAGACAGTTTTTATTGACAAATTAACGTTTTACTTTTGCAAATGTAAAGTGCAAACATGAAAAATAACAATACAAAGTGGCCACAGTAGAGAACTGCCTTCTTGCACACATCAACACAACAAGTGTTCATTGGCAGTTGTGAAATAGCTCCACACAACGCTCCTCTTTCTCTCAGCCATCATGCGCGTGTGTGTGTCGCACTCGCGAGTCGCTGGCTGCTGCTGTCCTGCCCTGCTGGCTGCTGTCGGTCAGTTTGATAATCCAATATGGTCTAGCTGCGGCCGCGGACACTACATGACACTACACAACACTACACGACACGCCCACCTGACACAACACTACGGTGGCTGAGAGGCACTACCGTTAAAAGCGAATTGACGACACTACACGACATGAGGAGAGGTATTGGGGTTTAGGTTTGGGAGGGAGGAAGGAAGATTAGGATTAGGTAAAAAGGTAGGGAGTGGTTAGGGTTAGGATGGGGAGAAGGGAAGGGTTACATTGAAGGGAGGGAAGATAACTGCTACCCGGGAAACAGGATGCAACGCGTCATCTGTGAAGCTCCGCCAGCGTTGAGCTCCCGCCCACATCGAGCTCATTGCGCACTGCAAAAAAGTATAAAAGTATCGATCCTATTGGCTCTAGTATCGATATTTTGAAACGTAACGTAATATCGGAAGTATCGATATTTTGGGATCGATCCGCCCACCCCTAGTTAACGTTGTTAAGAGTGGGGGGGGGCGGGGAGGGAGCGGATCGACAGCTTGAGCTGCTGTCAACTCAACATTGTAATTGCTATGTAAACAAAGTCGTCCAAAACACGTCAGGCATTGTTTCTGATAGCAACTTTCTGTGGGTCCGCCAACGTCACCACGGATGGACACGTCAGTTAGGATGGACATCTATAACCGCTCGTTGTACACCCGTTTTTAAAGGATTTGGGTACGGAGGAAAAGAGAGAGGGTTTTATTTTCTGATGCTGCTTGAGTTCCCCGACGCAACGGGAACACATATTTAAGTATAAAAGACATCACAAAGTGCATTTTGCATTATAGGTCCCCTTTAAGTATAAGTACTTGTTTCGCATAGTTCTACTTCTTTCTAGATGCTGCACATGTGTTGTCAAGTTGTTTTTTGTATTTACATATTTTTTTTGTTTTTGATAGTCCCACGTTTTTTGGCCTGTTGTAGTGTGTTTGCATGGGCCACCGTACATGTGAGTAAAAGTTTTCTATACGATTTCAAGCTAACACAGGGTGAGTAATGGTATACACATTTCTTTAAGCAGCATTTAAAAAAACTAGTATTTGACATGTAGTCATTGACACAGTAATTTAGTTGTCGAGACATCTTTCAATCTACAATTCATGAAATCAATGCTTCATGGGAGGTGTTTCAGTGATAGCAAAGAACAGTGTAGTTATTTATCAGGACACTAAAGCGGAGTGAAGCAGTCCCACAGCAGCAACTTCCCAAACATGTTTCAAGCCTTAAATAAATAATCTGTTTCAATTTTAGGGTTAACTTTCTGTAGCTGTCGGATTAAACCCTAACATCCTTCCTCATCAGGCTGCTTGATTACATATTGACTGAAGCTCGGAGGATACAAATGAAGTCATTATTTCACATGAAAGAAAAACATTTTTCACTAATATTACATCTATTCCAGCCCTAGAGATCAAAAGGCTTTATGGGGCTCTTTGAACACCACTAAACTCTATGAAGTTGTATGTATTGTGTGTTTGTGATGAACTATATCACTGATCCTTGTATAAGACTGACATGCTGATCTAAAGAGGTCTGAATCAAACAATTGTTATTGTGAATTAGCTCATCATCTTCACCACAAACACACAGACCATTGAAAACCAATATTTACATCACGTTCACATTTACATAAATTCAGTATGTGTGTATTTTAAGTACTTGGTTTGACACCAGAGGTAAGTTGACACAATTCCTTCTCTTTAGAAAAATTACTTATTGAGATGTCCCTGACACTCCCTGACACCCCAAAGAAAAAACACACATCTGAAGTCATGAAGACGCGGTGTGTGTGTGTGTGTGTGTGTGTGTGTGTGTGTGTGTGTGTGTGTGTGTGTGTGTGTGTGTGTGTGTGTGTGTGTGTGTGTGTGTGTGTGTGTGTGTGTGTGTGTGTGAAGACATAAACACACATTCAACTGGATGGGACACCTGATCAAAGGAGAAACTTGGCAGGGTGGGAGGGTGTGTGTGTGTACCCTGTAAACACAGAAGAAGAAAGCAAGAGCATGCAGATGAAGGAATCCATGAGGAGAGGAAGAGAAGAAAGGAGAGGAGGAGGGGAAATGGGGAAGAGGAGAAAGAAGATGAAACAAAAGAAAGACAGAAAAGCAGGAGAGAAGGACGAAGAGGAGATGAGGGAAAAGGAAAGGGGGACTGAGAAGATGAGAAATAAAAGATGAGAAGAGAAGAAAGGAGAGGGGAAAGAGGAGATGAAATAAGATAGTAAGGAAAGGGTAAAAGATGTTAGGAGAAAAGAAGAGAAGTTAAGAGGAGAGGAGATGAGAGGACTATGGAGGAGAGGGGAGGAGAAAACGACTGCTTTCATCTCAATATCAAAACACACACACACACACACACACACACACACACACACACACANCTCCACCTGCACTCTAAAAAAAAATACACCAGCTCTACTTAAATAAATTGAGGTAACAATTTGCGTTGATCTTTTTAAGTATTTCCAACTTAATCGATTATTAAATTAATCCAAGTACCCATTTATAATCTGATTAACTAAATTAGTTCAGTACTACAAACATAATTTGCTTTAATCGATTAAGTTGGAAATACTTAAAAAGATCAACGCAAATTGTTACCTCAATTTATTTAAGTAGAGCTGGTGTATTTTTTTTTAGAGTGCAGGTGGAGTGTAATGTGTAATTGTATTGACTTGAATATGTCCGTGCAGATGTGTGAGCAGGTTGTACGCTCACTGCCTCTCCTGTTTTCGTACTGTTCAGCTCTTCATGCTGAAAAGTTTATGGACAATTATGTCGACACTTGATAGCTGGTATTTACTCCAGACAGCAACGTGTGTTTGTCTGCCATCCACACTACATCCGATACCTGCACTCTGTGTGTGTGTTCGTGTGTGTGTGCATCACTTGGTCTAAGTGTCTGTATCTGTGTGTATCTTGGCAGCATGGCGAGCAGTGGCAGAAGAACGCCTGCACCACATGTGTGTGTGACCGGGGTCAGTCTAAGTGCCACACACACGCCTGTCAGCCCGCTTCCTGTGCCAAGGTGAGTAGTCTCAAACACACACACTAACACACAGACACACACACTCATTGGAATTCTGTTTTATACAGAATCCACCTCATACATTAGGCTTTGTGTTGAAACTCTAATGGATTCAGAGGCGTTTAACAATGCAAGACAACACAGATGTTGCTCTCTGCATGTAAATCCACACACACACACACACACACACACACACACACACACACACACACACACACACACACACACACACACACACACACACACACACACACACACACACACACACACACACACATACACAGAGGCTGACATTAAATTGTTAATTGTATGCAAATTTCAGCTTGCGGCGCCCGTTCTGTGCTGGAACTCTTGTTAGTGAAGTCGGAGAGTGCTATAAAACACAATCCAGACGCACAGCCATTAAATAAAGGGTCATGGACAGACAAAGTACATAATAATGCCAATACATCTGTCAAATATATATTAATATTATTACCACTATTACTTTAGCCTTGCTACTTATTTTTCTTCCTGCTTCCTCTTTCCCTTCGTCTTTCAAACCCAACCTGTGGAGGCAGATGGACGTCCACCCAAATTTAAGTAGTAGGGTGTAGTAGAAGTGTAGGACATTTTGGTTTTAAATTGACAACACTTGATATTATCACAGAAGCCTTACGCAGCTTCACTGTGTTTGGTTCTGACTAGGGTTGATTTAAGTTCTAAGGGCCAAACTCAGTTTATATTCTTGAAGCAAAACAAAAATGTATCTGAGCCCTCAAGCCACTAATTAATATATTATCTAGCTGAAAGATTTCCAAACTAGGAAACATTTACTTGATCTCATTAGAGCTGTACTGATGACCTCGCCGCAGGCCACATGACAAACGAACAGTATTTTTTTTTGTATTACAAATGTAGATGGATTTTTGACCTACATATTCAGACATTTTTCTTTCTACCTGCACCTTGGAAAGAGGTGAAATTTAGCCAGAAGTCCCATTCTGTATGCGCTCCAGTTTTAAAGGAGACATATTTTCATTTTCAGGTTTAATATTTGTCGTTTGTGTCTCTACTGTGACTTGTTTCCATGCTTTAACGTTCAAAAAGGTCTTTATTTTTCCTCATACTGTCTGTGCTGCAGCACCTCTTTTCACCCTATGTCTGAAACCAGAGACCAGTCTGCTCTGATTGGTTAAATGGCTAGCTCTGTTGTGATTTGTCAACTGCTTGGATATGTGACGGAAATGCCCCGCTGCTTAGCATATCCCATATTATGTGTACTAGCTAATAGAAGCGCTAGTATAGTGTCACATAGTGATTTCACTTTGCTATGGAAGTAAACAAAGAAGTCCAATGGAGGCGTTTCAGGTTGGGGGGGGAGTGTGTGTGAGAGAAACTCCATTTGGAGGGAACTTTGGGATTTTAGCCTTTGCAGACCATTTACATGCACAAAAACCTATATAACACACTACAGCAGGGGTCGGCAACCCCTGGCACGCGTGCCAATGCCGTAACCAGTGGCACACTAGGAATAAGTGGAATAAGTGTGCAAAATATTTAAATTGTATTTTTGGATCCTGACCGAGACCGCCGCCAGAGCGTCTCCTCGTCACCTGCAGAAGGAAGCCATGCACGCAAAGCAGCCCCGCTCTCTTTATCTCCAGGTGACTTTCTGCCGCTTTCCTCCGTGGTGCAGTGCTGATCGTTTCACCACGGAGGAAAGCACTTCACTAATTGCAGTACCCATAAGGCACAC